TCTAGCATATGAGTATCGTTCATCAAAACCTCTTCCCCTTCTGATATGTTTTGGTGAAGCATCAGGTGACACGCTCCTAGAGAAGCTCCTCCCACGAGGTGTCCTCAATACCTATCATTCAATTCTCTCTACATTTAACCATGCTACCATTGGAGAACTCCTTAACACCCAATCTCTCATCTTCTCTCTATTTGGGTTCTGATTTTGCAACGTCTACACTGTAGATTTCAGGTTTGATTTGTTAGTTTTTGTTGGTATTTGTTTTGATTTCTTCTTTCCATCGATTTTGTGTTGTTTAGTGACTGGTTCTAAGTGAGTGAGGCTATCTCAGTTCTGTGTGGGTGGATTTGTGGGGTTTTTGGTTCTACATTTCTCCTTTATTTTTGTTATTTTCATTGCTGCATTGTGGATAATATAAGGAAAAAAGTTAGTGACTATGGAAAAGGAAAAGGAATTCAATTAAGTGGAGTTACAAGGAATGGTATTGTTGGTAGAAGTGAAAGTTTAAGATCAAAATCAAACAACACTGCTGGAACAAGAAATAATGTGGTGTGGAATCATGACATTTCTATTTTTGGAGATACTAGACGCATCAAATGCAAGTATTGTGAGAATGAATATACTAGAAAAGTTTATCGTTTCAAACATAATTTGGCAGGAACAAAGCAAAATATTGGAGCTCGCATGACTGTCCCTGATGATGTTCGAAAACCAATGTTGGACATTGTTGTTAAATTACAAGAAAAATTTATAGAAAAAATAAATACACAGCAAGAGCTTGAAGGAAAGGGAATAGAAGATGATGTGGGTGAATTTGAAAATGTGGGCAAAAGAAAAATACATGGTGATGTTGAAAGTCTAGCAACTCTTTTCAAGAAAAGGGGAGTGACCACCCAATCTATAATTAATTTAATTTTTAAGTAAGGTTTGAGAGAAGATGCATGTTTAGAAATTGCTTCATTTTTTTTACAATAATGCAATTTCTTTCAATGTTGTGAAGAGTGGGGAATTTAGAAAGATGTGTGAAGGAATTGCTCGACATGGTATTAGATTTAAGCCACCATCCTACCATGAGATTTGTGTAAAATATTTGAAGCAAAAAGTTGAGGAGACCAATAGCATCTTAGAAGAGCACAAAGCTATATGAAAAAAAATCGGATGCACTATAATGGTCGATGGATGGACAGACAAAAGGAGGACTATACTTAATTTTTTGGTAAATAATCCAGCAGAAACTATGTTTTTGAAGTCTATTAATGCATCTGACATATGCAAAACAGTTGACAAAATTTTTAAGATGATAGATGATGTTGTTGAAGAAGTTGGAAAAGAAAATGTGGTACAAATTGTGACAGATAATGTTGTAAATTATAAGGCAGCAGGAGAAATGTTGATAGAGAAGAGGAAAAAGCTTTATTGGACACCTTATGTTGCACATTGCATTGATCTTATGTTGAAAGATTTTAAGATATCATTACATAAAGAAACTATTGCAAACAGGAAAAAAAATCAGAACTTAATCTATTTTAGAACTGGTCGTATATCTTTATTGCATGCCTTTACTCAAGGTACAAATTTAATTAGACCTGTAGCTACACGTTTTGCAACTTCTTACTTGACTTTGTGATGCTTGAATGATAATAAAGGATCATTATTAAAAATGTTTACATCCAAAGAATGGAAAGATAGTAAGTTTGTCAAAATGAAAGATGAAATAGTTGTAGAAATATAGTCATAAATAAGGAGTTTTGAAACGATATTTTGAATTGTTTAAGGGGTGCATATCCCTTAATTAGAGTGTTGTGCTTGGTGGATTCAAAGGACAATCAGCCATGAGTTTCATTTATGAGAAAATAGATCGAGCCAAGGAGAAAATTCAAACAAACTTCAATGATGTTAAAAAAAAGGTATATTAGACTTTAGTTTAATTTGATAATTTATAGCTTTGCTTTGAAAACTCTTTTTTTTTTCATTCTTTAATCTCTAGTTTCATGCCACTATGCCAGATAATTGATGAAAAATAGGACAACTAATTACATAGACCTTTGCATGCTGCAGGCTACTACCTTAACCCAATTTTGCATTATGCTATGGATTTTGAAGCTGATTTTGAAGTTAAGCATGAATTATATGAGTGTTTAGAAAGAATGGTAGAAAATATGGATGAAGCGAATAAGATTGATGGTCAATTGGAGTATTTCAAAGCTAAAAAAGGATATTTTGGTACAAAATTAGCAATTACTAAAATGAAAGTGAAAACTCCAGCACAATGGTGAGAATCTTATGGTGAAGAACATCGAGAGTTACAAAAATTTGTCATTCGTGTATTAAACTTGACATGAAGCTTATCTGATTGTGAACGTAATTAGAGTGTTTTTTTTAAATGGTAAGTTATTTCTTAAAATTACCAAATGGATTACTTTAATTATTGTGTTAAATTATTAATTAATTATGTTGATATTTAGGTTCATACCAAGAAAAAAATTGTTTAAAGCAAAAAATGATGAATGGTGTTTTATATGTAATGACAAATTCAAAATTAGGCAATAGTATCAAGAGGAGGAAAGAGCCTAACTTTGACATTAAGAATGTTGCTTCTAATGATGATTAGATTATAGAGGAGGAGAATGAAGTAATATCAGATATAGATTTAGATAAGAACTTGATTCAAGATGGAGAAGCAAGCAGTGGTGTTGATAGTTTAAATACATCTATAAATAATTTGGACCTTCTATCTGCTGATGATGATGAGTCTACTATGGATGATATTGATAAAGATGACTATATAAAAGATAATTATCCTGATTGGAACTTAAAAAATATATTATAATATATTATTACTAGTTTGACTAATTATGTGTTGTATTAGATTTAGAATCTATGACTTTTAAATTATGTTTAATTAAATAATGTGATTTAAATATTAATTTTCTTATGTATGTTATTTTTTATACTTATATATATATATATAATCTTAGATTTTTGACCCTCCTCCCGATCTTAAGTAAGATCCAGATCTTGACAATATTGTTTACCAGAACTTCGAAAAGATGATCTAAGTGGGCTCCTGCTTATGCTCTTTATTGACACTCTTACCGGACAGGACTTTTGCTGAGGGGGAAACAAGATCAATAATTAGGTCAAACATTACTGCATATAGCATTTAAAACGATATATATGTATATATATAAAGATAGAAAAAATACCTCAAAAACCATCCTTTCAACAGGATCCCCATCTATGGACACATCCATAAACACCAAAGGATTCTTCCTCTTTGCCATTGCACGTATTATTTGTCAAAACTTAAACTGATTTGGCAACTGATCTGATACAAATCATCATTACACAAACATTAATGAGAAGAGATAAATAGTGCAAATAAATTATACACAAATTTGCATGAAAGTGACGTGTAAGATTTTATGAAAACTAACATACACTCTCTCCACCGATGTATGGTTACCATCAATCTGATTGGTCAATACGAAATTCATGAGCTTTCGTGTAATTATTTTCGTACCAAATAGCTATGCTGAACATTATTATTCACCGACAGGAAGCTATAATTCATCAATAAGCAAACAAACACCAATCCTAGTAACTTAACGAAACTACCCTGCTGCACTTTCAAGCTTTCACAAGCTAAGTTTTCCAAAATCTACAAAATTCACATTAAGTTCATTAGTTATACAGTGAACCTTAATAAACAAAAATGTTACAAGGAAACAAATTCAGTGTGCATTGCATTTGTGGCAAAAATCAATATACCCTTATATACACCCAAATTTTCTTCCAATGCTAGAACACTAATACAGCTAAACTCAACCCGAAACAAAGCAAAAGGTGAGAAAGTAAGCAAAATAGAGATCACGTCAAACTCTTAGCAAATAATTTCCCACTTCCTAGCACCAAAGCAAAAACTGATTAGGCCAGACGAAGCAGGAAACCGCAACGAATTCCACTATAACCCTTTAATTGTGCGATGAAACCAAGATCAGGAAGAGGGCAAAGCAACCATTCACTATAAAATCAACTAAATTGAAATAAACAGCGTGAAAACACAGTAGATGTGTCGAATTTGAGCTGGAACTGAACATGAACAGAAAATGAAGTGCAGGGTGCATAGGGATGAACGACAGAGAGAATAGTGTTTGAAATTGAAGAGGCTTATTTAGCAGAGTTAGTGCAGAAATCAAATGAGAAACGACAAAGTAGTATGGAAGAGAAGCAGAGGGTTGAATCACCTGATTCACTGAAGAGATGAGAAAGATAATGAAACCTAGGCTTCAATGCATGAGCTCTCAGTCTGGTAGCTTACACTGAAGTGTGAAGTTACTGGATTATCCCTGCTCTTCGGCTTGCTGTTTTACTCACCTTATTTATTTACCTTTTATTTATTTATTTATTTATTTGAAGCTTATATTAAGGGTTGGTTAATTTTTTTGAATAAAGAAGAAAAGAAAAAGACTTATTAATTTCAATTAATTTAATTTAAATGAATTTATTTGATAAATTTAAAAATTTATTATTCATGTTTAATTAAAAAAACGCAAATTTCACTTCTTTAAAAAATTAATTTTCAATGAATTTGTTAGTCGTGGAATTAAATAAATTTAATTTAAATAGTGTAAATATTTTTAAAATATTCAAATAATTTCCCATGAATGTTTTTTGGAAAAAAAATAAAATACTATAACATACTTTTAATATAAAGTATATGAGGTGATGGGCACCAATTCACCTAAAATTAACGTAAAAAGTAAAAATTACAAAAAATGATAAAAATGTAAAGCTTTTCTAAAACTTTCGAATTATTTGAACGAATTGGCGAATTAAACTCTAATCTACAATCAGTTTCAGAAGATCTGCGTTACAATTGAAATTTTTTTTTTCATATAAACAATAATGATAAATAGTTGAAGTTAAGCTTCAATTTATAGCACAAGAGAAAGGTTATGAATAAACTATGTTTCTTTCACATCATTTATTCACGCAAAATACATGAAAGGATTTATAGAAACACGCCACTGTATACTATACGTCTATAGATAGTTGTTATACACACTTATTTTCATAATAAAATGAAAATCATACTCATTACCTCTCGCGTCTCTTAAAAAAAAAGAGAAAAAACATTCTTAATTATTATCCTAATAACTATATAAAATCAAAGGCTTAGAACCCATATATAAATATTTTGATTCATTAGCCTCTAACAGACCCAATCCCCTTATGGTTTACGTAGGCTTAGTAACTTGACATCATCAATGACAGGTCCACAGAGTGAAGAGAAATCATCACTTCTCATGGTGTAGAAGGTACTAAGGAACATGATGCGTGTTCTTGGGGTGGTAGCAACAAACTTGAGTGCCGCACGCTTAAACCCACCTTTGCCTTTGGACTCATAAGGCACTTTTATAGTGTCTTTGCCTGCATATGCTTCCACAATCATAGACCCTTCACATGAATTGCTAGCATCCCCAACTGAAAATGAGAGCACATAAGTTTTGCCAGGAATTGTTCTTGCTACTTGTGCAATGGCACTTTCTTTTCCTGCTAGTAACTCCACAGCTCTTTTGCCTTCAGGGACTGAGAAATGGGCTGAGTCTATGTACTTCACTGCCTTAAGGGACTCTACCATCCATCCTGGTAGGGGAGAGTGGTCATCCTCAATGTTGGGTGGGATAATCACACCCCATGATGAGTTGGGGAACACATAGGGTCCCTCTTCAAAACCACCATTCTTCAATAGGTTTTCTGTGGAGCGTGAGATGTGTTATTATACCATGTATAGAGAAAGGAAACCACTCATTTCAAGATATTCATGAATCAATTTAGAGGTTAAAAAAATACAATTAATATGTATGGTTCAGTATATCATATTATTTATCAACACATAAAAATCTAAATTTATCATATTTAATTTTATATCTCATTTTTCAGACATTCCGAAAAGCAGGCCACAAAAACAATTGAAACTTGAAAAAACTGAATTTGTGATTCCTAGATTTACGTAGTTTAAAAGTCATTAGTTATGAAAGAGAATAAAAATTTATGATGTTAAAACTAATTTAACTTACACAAATTACAGTTCCAGGAACACTGCATAATTTCCATTATTCGTGAATTGATGATATAACAAATTTTAATTTTTTTAAAGGATTGATTTGACTATTTGTTCGACAACTTAATATGGTGAAGTGGCTGTGAAATTCTGAATTGTTAATTATAAGGTACATTGTGCATAAATAGTCACCTAACTAGAGAAATAAAGTGGACAGTTAGTATTCATTGCTTGCCCTGGTCCCATAGGATTTAAAATTTCATGTGTATATATATTGACAAGCATTTAATTTTCTGTGGATTCTTTTTTCTACTTTTAAAGGGGACAGTGTTCTGTGAAATCAAAACTGTTTTCTTTCATATAGGTAAGTACCACAGTGACTTATTTCCATATCACATGCAATGAAATTATAAAAAATACAACCGTTCTATTCTAATGTCAGACTTAATATGAATTTGAATTTATGCAGACCCTTTTGTACTAGCTCTTAGAGGAGTTTTACAGAGAAAGAATGCATAATTGCGTTTCATAAATATGATCGTAACATCTTACCAACCTTACTCTATATAGCGAACTATTAATATAGGACCACAGCCAATGGTTTTCTTGCCTGACATCTATGTATAATCATGCCAATATATATTTAACCACTTTGATATTTTCATACCATACTTTTAATATTTTTTATTTATTTTTCTTTTAATTTATCTTTTCTTTTATTATAATATTATTCATTGTATATATATACTCTCTTCCTTAATGAGGCGTTTACATCTCAAAAGGGTGTGAAGCAATCATTTTCCTCTATTAAATTTGTTGCCTCTGTAGGTATTAATCCAGCTTCTTCTCTTGAGCTATTAATGTTTGTTCTTATATGCTGTCTTTGATTAGGCATTCTAATTAGCAGCTATGTTTGTAACGAGTTTAAGGAATATTACGTCAAATCAAACTGCACTGTCAATCTGCAGTCGCATGTGACTATTTGGTAACATGAAAATCTAATGAAAAGAGCAATCTAGCATTTTAGTCTACAAAAAAAATACAATACTCGGTCTTTTAAGTTAAAAATGAATGTGTCCTAATCGTTTTTAAATTCATTTTTACATTTGTCCTTTTGTAATTTATTGTAGGCGTTTCAAGACCTGCTATGTTCTGAAATTTCATCCTGATTCAAGGTAATTGGAGTTTGAATTTAGGCTAACCTGTCTTGTTTCGATGCCATATAATATTTTAAAATATTAGTGATAAATTATAAATATTTAAATTAATATTTTGTTTTAAAACATAAGTTATTAAGTTTTTCTTAATTGTAATTTTTAATTCTAAATGCCAAAAAGTATACATAATGTCTAAAAATTAAATTTGACCCTGTTTTGAACTGGTTATTAGTTGATTCATGACCTTACAGAATTTGAACTACAAAATGATCCAATTAATGAAATCTTTAGAGTAATAACTTTTTTTATATATATAAAAATATCTTTCAAGAAACTAACAAAAATAAATAATTATTTTTTTAACATAAATGAAACTAAACACGTATTAGAAATAGGTCTAGATTCAACTCATTTCCTTAAAAACACGAATATCTATTAGCAGGAGCAAACATAAAACAAATAACTTCCAACTCATTCCATAAACATTCCAAACAGAAACTAACAAAAAATGAAGGGATAATATTTAAGAAGTTTTGCTATATCTTTTACATGTTTTTTAATAATTTTTATTTTAAACAAAATAAATAATAAATATATATATATGTTATTTTAAATATAATCATATTATATTATTCTCGTAATTCTATATATCAAATTTTACATTATTTAAAAGTATATTATCTAAAATTTAATATCTCCTTATATTTTAAAAATATATTATACGTTAAAATAAAATATTATAATAAATAATTTATTAATTTTACTTTTATATGAAATTTTATAATATTAATTTACTTGCTGAATGAGTTAATTTAGCATTTTATAAAGTTGACATTTATTAATGTAAAATATTATTAACTCTAAATAAATAACTCTATCTTGGAAAAACTAATAAAGGTAAAATATTACATTAAAAATTATAATTTTTTACTAATCTTTTTATTAAAAAAATATTAATTAATGCACCTAAAATGAAACTATGTATGAGAAAAGTAACCTAGAGAAAGCCTTAGAATAAAGAGATTAAAGAGGCAAACTTACTGTTAGTGGGTTTGGGAGGGTAGAGAGTTCTGAGAGCAATGGAATCAATGAGAGGGCCACAAGCTGGATCCTCCTCCTTTCCAGGGTTATGTATTAGCATATCCACAACATCACTCATAGCTTTGAAGCCATAAGCAATGGGATCCCAACCACTGCTTGTGTACAGTGTTTGTATGGGAATGACACCCCAGTCAGGAGCCACAGATATATTGAGTCTCTCTTCTTGTGCACATGTGCGTGCCACCATGAACGTGATGGAATAGTACATTCCCTTAATCACCTTTATCTTTTGCTTAATGGAAGCCTCATTCCCAAGCCTCACTGCATAAGCACCCTCTGGCACCACCAGCAACATGTCACCTTGTTTTTGCCCAGATTTTATATACTCAACATAACCAGAAATCACCCATTCTGGTATGGCGTGGCTTCCACCAACCACCACCGTGCCTTTCAGGTCTGATGGCTTTGGCCCCAACTCAAAATTCCCATTTGCCACTAGTCCTGCATCAATTCATCTGTTACACTTTCACCCGAACTCATATATAATAAAGTAACTTCGACAAATCCAAAATACCTTAAAAAGTTTCATTAGTACGATATATTGACAATATATGTTTATACTTATAAAAGTATTTTTTAGTGTAATACATTAACTTTTAAATGAATATTAATCAGTATTATAAGAACATTAATTATATATATGACAAATCCAACGCCTAAGCTCTATATATAATCTAATCATAAGCTAATAATGGGCATCTTATTTTATAGGACCACTTTGGCAAATCAAAAAGAGATTTTGGAGCCCAACCAGGTCGAATGCAAAATCCAAACTAACATAGTTCCCAATCCAATGCTACAAGCACTGTGCCAAAATTGACCAGTTCCTAGTTATGGTAAAGTCTCTTCAGAAGTATTTCAGAAGCATGTGGTGCTGGTGGAGGTGCTCTGCACCACCTATCTCATTGTCCATTCGTGACGTCCCTAGTATGCATACAAGGCCATGTGAATTTTCAGAGCGTCATGCATGCATTATGTGCTTAGCCTAAAAATGTGGGGCCCAAAATGAAATAAATAATAGGAATTTATGACAACCGTGCGACACCCAGGTCACCCTCATAGCTGTTAACCCAATATAATTCAATGCCAAGGAAAAGAATAATAACTTAGCGAGACAGATTAGTAAGGGTGCATATCATATTCATAAATGATGTCCACGTCAATTAACAACACTAGAACAAACTCACCCCTTCGGATATTGAAATGGACAAAAATACGTGTAATATTATAAGTAATTTTATATTTTATATTTTATATTTTAAAATATTTTTCTTTTAGTAATTTATATAATAAAGGTTAAATTTTAATTTCAAAATGCTCACTACAATGTTCCTAAACTTTGTCCTTAAAACTTCAGAACTCTGTGCTAAGGTGAAAAGGTTGGTTCAACATAAACAAAGGGAGTGTTAATTTGCTAGCTAAATGGGAAAGATACATTGAGCTGTCGAAGTTTGTATAATTTTTGTATAATATGGGCACCCTTCAGTGCCTACATACACATGTACGTACATGTATACATTATAAATATACGAATACTATTGAACTTAATTGGTAGCTTACCGTCTGTGAAGGAGAAGGAGACATGAAAGGTGGCACATAAGAGCACCGACAGAAACATGAACCTTCCCTCCATGTTGTCTGGGATGTGAAACTTTGCAAGTTTCGGATAATGAGGTGAAAAGGGAAGATGATTGAAGAAAGAAGAAAAGAGCGTGGCATAGCAGTGAGGGAGGTTCTTGGCCTTATATGCATGCTTTGTTACCATATGAGGCTTAAATTTGGAATAAAATTTCAAATGTGCCATTGAATGGTTATCCTTAACATCACTGCGTCAATGATTGACCATGCGTTTTTCTGCATTAAAATATGAACCGAATCTGAATTTTTTTTTGGATGTTTTCTAATAGAAAACCCTCATGTATTTTGGGAATATAAAATAATTCTTTTTTGATTTATTTATTGAATGTTGGTGAAAAAAAATAAAAGAAATTCAATTCAGATATCATACAATCAATCATACACATCTCTTTCGAGTAAACCTGTGAAAAAAAATATTAATAATACTTGTATGTTCTTATGATGTGCATCACCTCACATGATTATCCCTTCACTCCAAGCTATTGTAATAGGAAAATGTTTGCTGAAGAATATTTTTTCAGAAAAAATTGCAAAAAATGACTTTCAAAATATGATAACATGTTTGAATAAATTTTTAGTAAAATTAAAATATGAAAAAAATACTTTTAAATTATTTTAGAAAATTATAAGGAATGACTTTAAAAAATAAATATTTAATTATATATATATTTTTTAAAATAAGCTTAAACAAATAAACCAAAAGAACATATGCAATAACAATCAATAGAAAACAAAAATAAAGTTCCTCTGTTGATAGAACTCTTACTGCGATCTACCTAAATTGTTTGAGAAGTCTTTGATCTAATTTTACCTTTCCACTTGGAAAGAAAATTATTTATCTCAAAATTTATAACATAGATTTAAGTCCAAGCCGTATGATTCTAATTTTGTTTATATAGAAGATTATTCAGACATTTTTTAAGAAAATATATTATACATTGTATCTTCAAATTAGTTTTTCACCATAATTGATAGTAAATCTCTTTCGGTCAGCAATTTTTGTGATAGGAATTTCTTATATCTTATTCAATTTGTTTTTATTGTTTTTGTTATATTATTATTGATAAATACAAAATATGATTTTATTTTAAAATTTATTTTACTTTAATAATTTATGTATAAAATGAAAATGTATTTTTTATATATTTAGATATCTCTTTCCTAAATTTTTAAAAGTGAAAAAATTTAAAATAAAATGACATTTTTATAACTATTAATAAAAAATGTCAACTAAGAATAAAAAAAATAAATCAAACATATTTTTATTTTTTATTAAAAAATTAAATCATACAAAATATATGTGCACACGTGCGCACTCAGATTCTATGGCAAGATACTCCAGTAGTTAAACTTGAAAATGTGTACGTGTGTGCTTTTTTATAGAAAGACATTCTTAGTAGTTAAACTCTAAAGAGTCTATAATATATCACAAGGTGTGTGTTATGTGGCAAAATGCCCTTAGTAGTTAAACTCTTAAAGAAATGGCTAAAATGTAATACAATGTATAATCATTTAGGAAATATATGAAAATTAAATTTAGGTTTTGAATTTTTAGATATTAGCAACAACTTTGTGGTCAAAATTGACCATGCATGTTTTTTAATAATTATTTAATAGTATAGTGATGGACCCTAACTTTATATCTCCAAATTAAGATTATGGTATGAATTTGTTTCGTTGATTGGAATAGTTCTATGATGAAAGCATTCTCTTAGTCTTCACATTAGTAGTAGATTTTGTTGAGTAAAAAAGAAAGAAAACATTATCTATGCCATTTTAATAGAGATATAAAATAAAAACAATCAACATAAGAATATAACGTGAAAACTCTAAAAATGAAGGAAAAACCATGATTGTTGTCTAATGACAACAAGAGAATAATACTATATGAAAATTGTTTTAATGAAAACTACAAAATAATACTGTATGAAAATTTTTATAACGCATAGATTATTCTCTTTTGCCCTCGATATATCTATATTTTCTAATGTAAGTAATTAAATTAAACCTCACAACACTTTAATACAATCCTCACCATGATTAAAATGAAAACACAAGATGTGTCTATTTTAATCATGGTGGAGATTGTTGGGGTTTATGAAAATAGTACATCTTAAAAGTCTCACATCGTGTTATGTCGAAAGAAGTCTCACATCACTTGGGATGAACAAAGGAGTAAGTGAACAAGGCTATATAATAGATTTGAATTCATAGTATCAATGCACCTCAATCGAAAGGGTGTATTGGGGACAAGGTAAAATAGTGTGTTATAAAAATTTTCAAGCAACTTCACATCCTTGTTGTTGGAGAATAATATCGTAGAAACCCCAAAATCAAAGAAAAAAAATCATAATTGTTGTGTTAAATTTTTTTACAATGCATAAACTATTCTCCTTTATCCTCTACATCCACACTCTCCAAAGCAAGTACTTAGAACAAGTCCATTATATAGTCTTGCTCACCCGTTGTTCATTTTGGGCGATGTGAGACTTCTTCCAACATGTCTTGAACAATATAGAACTTTAATGTATTATTTTCATCAACCCTAATAGATTTAAACCCTTCAAGATATTTAAAATAGATGTTTATAAGTAAATGTTAAAGTGAATGTTGACAAAGCTAATTATAGGAAAGGTATGTTTGAATGGTTTTTGGTATAAAGTTGAATATGAAAGACTTCATCATAACTTTGGTTGTTATAGTCATTTGATACAGGAATGTAAAGACATAAAGAAGGTCTTCTTAGTATAAAAGCAACAATAATCAATAGACAAGGGATTATACCACTCAAAGCACTAAAAAGGCAAGTCTCTACAATACTAGTTAAGTTTTGACAATTATTAAGATAGTAAATGGACAAAATCACATCAACTCTGATTTAGAAGAGACAATCATAAAAGTAAGAATGATGATTTTATGAATTTAGTAAAGTCGATTAGAATTGACTTTCATACATAATATTTTATACACAAAAGTCTATTATAATTAACTTCTACTTTACAAGTAAAATAATTTTACTCGACTTTTACATAATTTAACACACATGCATGCAAAGAAACAACAATGATAGTTGAAACTAAAATATTTTGCATAAAATTTAATTTTAATAAACTTTTATTATATAAAAACAAGACATATGTAAAGAAATTAATTTTAAGAGATGTATGTAATATGTAATTTATTTTTTATTTTGGTCAAAATCATCTTAAAAAGAACTATAAAAGCAAATTTGTAACAATCATACTCTAAAATTTGGATTTGCTAGTATCATGATTTCATCTTGAATTTTAAAAAAATTTAAATTAATGAAGTCAATTAAAAATATTTTTTATTTAAAATATAATACCTAATCCATCAGAAGATTTGATTTAATAGTTTATAATTAATAACTAATCGATAAATACTTATTTCTAATACAATTTATTTATTGACATAAAAGGCTGAATAGAATAAGTTCATTGATCAAGTTTGAGATTTTCTTTTGCAAAATATCTTGTATATAAGAAAATATTGTGTTGATTAACTAATTAAACACTACTTTATAAGATATCTTTCTTTTGTGGTGACATCGATGTCTTTCGTAATCACGTATTACTATTTCAATTAATACTACATAAATTCTTAAAATTTATTCTTAATTTTTTAATACATATATATACTAATTAATTAATTTTGTAAGTGTTTATCTATTACTCAACTTTTTCTTATTATTGGGCTTAGTGATTTTACTTCATTAAAAATAAACAACCAAAACAAATTGATAGAATTTAGTCAAAATTTGTTAATATTCAAAAATTAATTTTAAATTAATCAAAATAGTAAAAAATTGTTCATAAATAATATTACTCAACTTTAATTATTTGAATGGCTTAATGAGATGTTCAGATTCTACCGATTCTAGGCTTAAAAAAAATGAAAAGCTTATCCATCAATCCAAGAGTTATTAACAACGAAAAGCTTATTCTACAAGTTGCTTGCGATCTTAAATATATTTCCTCTGAAGAATATAAAAATAATATGTAAAACAGTCTATGTGGACAATAAAGAAGGTTCCCTTAATTTAATTTATCACATTATTTAAGAATGTAATTTCTTTTAATTAAAGTTAATGTGCTTAGATATCAAACTGACTTTCCCCATTTGATTACATTATTTTTTGGAAAATGCAATTATTTCATAGTTAAAAACTTAAATATAAAAATATAAAAGAATACATTTAAATATTTACTATTTTAAAATTCTGGTCTATTTTGCATCTTTAGTTTACTTACACGACAACATAACAAATCACCACTTTGCCTTTCAAATATTTTAAAAATCACTATATCCTTTAGTAATATAAAATATTATTAATTTAGTCTTTCAATTATGTAAAATGTAATCAAAATAGTATTAAATCAGCGTTCTGTTACACTGATTTATCTCAATTAGAATTCTGTATAATTTATGATTTAATGCAAATTTTCAAATAATTAAAATAATGATACTTCTAGCTTAAAACATACAATCAAAACATGATATAATCTTGTTTTATCATATGATGAACATATTTTTAATGTAGTTTTAAATTCAAATTTATTTTAAATTAAGAGAAAAATAAAATAGTGTAGACTAAAAGGTATAATACATCCAAGATAGAAATGTAAACTAAATTATAAAAAAAAAACATGTATAAAAGTATTCTTTATTTGTCGACAATTCTTTATAATGTATATATAGAAAAGAAAAATCGATCAATAATGTTCATAAAATTTTTATGTATACACATATATATACTATTATCATCGTTGAGATTTACAAACAAGATCATACGTTGATTAAAATTGAGAAAGATCAAAAGCATATAAGTATAGTAAATATCTTTATTAATACAAGGCTTTTTGATAGATGTTCAAAAATAAAACCACAAAAGCTTAATCCTAAAGTAGATAACATCGTATTAATGTAAAAATATAATAAAAAATCTGTACTTCTTATAACAAATGTCATCATGGATATATTTTATCTATGAATAGTTAAAACGATGAAGCTGTCGTGTTTTTGCTCTACAAAAACTACTGCGAAA